GGGGGGGGGGGGATTGTTCACACAGGAGCCCAGAACATTAGGAAAAGATGGAGCACGTGCTTCATGCATGAAAGATGGCGTTTCAGGTATGGGCACCACACGAGCTGTTTTTACTTCACACAGAAACTTTATGCTAGGGTTTGGCTAGGAGCAGAAGCCCCTGGCTAGTCTTCTGCCCAGTCCTACGCTAGCCTCTAATAGGGCATCACCATTAATTAGCATGCTGGCGAGCATTGCTGAGTGGGTGAGAAGAAATGATAAACCAACAACTACTTATTAAGCACCTCCTCGGAATCTGCCACCATGTTTACGGGGGGAATTAAAAATACACATAGCACCCCCTCCACGATCCCAAGTTNCAAACCAACAACTGCTTATTAAGCACCTCCTCGGAATCACCATGTTGTTTACGGGGGGAATTAAAAATACACATAGCACCCCCTCCACGATCCCAAGTTTACTGCCTAATTGGTAGGCTGAAATTAACACAGGTGAGAGCGACACCAAGTTATTAAATGCTGAGGCTAAGAATACTGCGTACTCTGGGGCTTAGGAGAGGAAGGATACATTATGCATTGGAGAAATCTGAGGCGGTTCGGAGGAGCCCAGGCCAGGAGTGGGACTGGATGGATTGGAAATCAGCCGCTGCTCCTTTTACGGGAAGAAGCTGGGAGTAAGGGAGAGGATGTGGGGCAGCCGCATATGTGGCTTTCTGAGGTTCCAGCTGATACCTAAGGTCAATGCGGGCCCAAACACAAGTTGACACTAATAAGTGTTCTGGTGAGGGGACCCACAAGGGGGTCTGGGACTTGGATTGCTGGGATTTGGGGGTTGCACTTGGCTTCTCTAAATTGAAAACAAATTTTCAGGGCATGGGGTTATACTTCAGTATTCACCTCATCTCTAAAAAGGGATCATTTGTAAGTTCTGTTTTGGTGTGATTTTTTGTTTTTTAATCTTCACCCAAGAATATTTTTTCCATTGCTTTTCAGAGAGAGTGGAGGGGGGCGAGGGAGAGAAACATCTGTGTGAGAGAGACACGTCGACTGGTTGCCTCCCACACTCGAACCATCCCGGGCCAGGGACAAGCCTGCAACTGAGGTACATGCCCTCGGCCAGAATCAAACCCCAGACCAACGCTCTAACCACTGAGCCAAACTGGCCAGGGCGTGATTGTTCTTTATTTTTTATTTAAGTATAGTTGGTATACAATCTTACATTGGTTTTATTAGTTTCAGGTGTACAATATAGTGATTTGACACTTTTATACCTTACAATGTGATCACCCCACTAATTCTAGTAATCATCTGTTACCGTATAAACTTATTACACAATATTATTGACTATATTCCCCTTCCCCTTTTCACCCATCCCACCACCCCCTCCCTCTGGTAACCATCCCTTTGGTCTGTCTCACCCATCCCACCACCCCCTCCCTCTGGTAACCATCCCTTTGAGTCTTTTTTGTTTAGTTTATTAGATTCCACATATAAGTGAAAGAAACCACATGGCACTTGTCCTTCTCTGCCTGGCTTATTTCACTCAGCATAATACCCTCTAGATCCATCCATGTTGTGGCAAATGGCAAGATTTCACTCTTTTTTATTGCTGTGTAATATCCCATCGTATATACCACATCCTCTTTACCCACTCATCTATTGATGGACACCTAGGTTGCTTCCATATCTTGGCTATTGTAAATAATGTTGTAATGTACACGGGTGCATATATCCTTTCAAATTAGTCTTTTTTTTTTTTTTTTTTTTTGGTTATTTTCTTTGGATAAATACCCAGAAGTGGAACTGCTGGGTCATACTGTATCTCTCTTTCTAGGAATCTCCATAGCGTTTTCCTTAGGGGGTTCACCAGTTTGCGGTCTCGCCGACAGTGCACAGGGGTTCCCTTTTCTCCACATCCTCGCCACCACTCGTTGACTTTTTGATGACAGCCACCCTGATAGGTGTGAGGTGACCTCTCATTGTAGTTCTGAGCTACATTTCTCTGCTGGTTAATGATACTGAGCAAGTTTTCTCCAAGGGTCCAGAGCTTCGGGAAAGCTGCTCTTTTTCCTTTGTTGACATGTTATGCAGCACTGCCATCTGCTGGAATTAGTGAGACCACTTCCCAAAGCTTGGTGATGCCTCCAACCTCCAATTACAGTTGGACTGGACAAGGCCAGACTTAGAACGAACATTCAAGTTGGTTGTTTCCTACTCTTCTCGTCCTCAGTCCTGCTCATTACCTGTCCCACGTTTATCCGCTTCCTCTTGCAAGTACAAATATGGGGACAACGATGCTGTGTGGTGTTTTTCAGTACTTTGATTGCCCAGGTCATTTCTCCACGTGGAATATCAAAGTTAATATGAGGATGATTTGGGTTGACTTGTCTATGAATAACCATTGATAAAATTTGATAGGAAAAAAGCTTTTTAGCCCTCTGCCTTTTTTGGGAACCCAGGCTGCCATCTTGGGCTACATTCTTGGTCTCCTACTGTCTTAATTGATTTGAACTGATAAAGGATTGAGTTAAAGTGTAACCCAAAGAATTCAAACACATATCAGAATTCAAATTTTGAAAAATGTTAAAATTACATAGGGGCAAGTATTGTCAATTTGGAAGTATAAAACATTCTTATTATACTTTACAAAGATTATGACAGATTTAGTCACTGAATTTATTTTAAAATGTGTAATTCCTGTGAAATTGTGAGGGGGTGCTATTTATAACAATTTCCTTCAAAGGAGAGTGTATCATGTTAAAATGAAAGACCCTTTTGTTGAACTAAGCAATTTGATGAATTTGGCTAAGCGTAGATGGGTCTGTGGCTGAGTATGAGGCTAAGAGAGAGAACTGTTTCTGTTTCTGTTTAAAGAAAATGGAGGAATTGCTTTTTATTTCAGAGGAAGAAGAGTACAGATAGGAAAAGGGGTAAGGCCTAGAATCATGGCAAGAGGCAGGAACATCAAGATATGTTTAAGGGTCCTTCCTTCTCTCTCCATCCCTCTCTCTTTTATTTCTTCCCTTCTCTCTCTCCCCCTTTCCTCTCCCTCTCCTTCCCTCCTTCAATGCGTGTGCTCTTTCAAAAGAAAAACAGGAAATATCTAACATTAAGTTTCAAGTTGTAGATTCTCTCCTGGAACCTCCTTAATAAAAGTTTTTTATACACCAATTTTTATTTTGGGGTTTTTGTTTTTATAAGTTATTTGTTTAGGTACGATTGAAGCATAAGATTGCTGAAGTTAATGTGGAATGGAAATGAGAAAGCATGTAAAGAGAGATGAAGCTACTCTTAAGCTAAATTAATATCCAGTGGAATTCGGGGCTCAGAGGCACTTTCTGAAGTCCCTGACTTGGAAGCTCAAGGCAAACGCAGGGGGTGCCGAGGCAGGTGATCCCAGCCTACGTCTGGTTATATGTGTTGCAGCGCAATCCTTCCTCACCTTCTTGCGCTACTCTCCACACTGGGTGAAGGTTCTGATTCTGGTTTGTGTGTGCATGGGAAATGTATCCTTCCTCCCAAGGACAAAGGACTGGGTGTCCTGGCTTCTAATTGTTCACTGGTTCTTCAGCCTTCCAAAGTAGGTTTGAGGAATATATTCCAAATCTCTGATTTCCAACATCCAACTCTTGAGACAAGCCTGGTCCTTAGATTTGAGTCACTTGATTTCTTAGGCCATTCTCTCCAGGGGTTTCAGAGCAGCTTTAATCCCAGCATCAAGGGTCAGCTGATGTGGAAACCAGTTCCCTCTCATAATTCTTTCCAGGGAGTTTGGGACTCTATGTAAAGCAGTGTTGGGTGACCTAGGATTACAGGATGTCTGAGCTCAGTGTGATCCTTTGTCAAAGGAGCATGGCCTCAGTGCAAATGCAATGATGGATGTCCGTGTGTAGCAGATGGGGCCCTGTCATTTATAATCTCTGTTGCTGGAGATCTAAGAGGTGCTTCTCATGGTCACCACATTAGGGTTACAATGTGATTATCCTTGAACTACTGAAAGACTATTCTAATTATCTAAGCCAATGGATTCTCATTTCTTATAATCCACCAATTATAAAAAGAACATGCCACATTTTATGATTTATATTTCTGTCATGTTCTTTAATCTCAATAAGCACAACGTATAAAAGAACCATGGGCCTGCTTGTGCTATTATCACATCATGGCCAGGTAAACTGTCAATTAAGGTTTAATTGACGTAACAAATATTGATTATAGATAGAAGCTGTCGAATAGGGAGGAAGAAGCAGGAGCAAGAAGAAATTCGTTGTGAAATTTTAAGTCACATCACCAATATGGGGCCCAATTTTCTTATCAATAAAGTTGGCTAGAGCAGGCATTTTCTCAGGGCCCTCCTGGTTCTAAAGTTCTGTGGGTCTATGCAGTTTTTCTTAAACTGAGATAATTTGCGTGGACTCAATCTAAAAAGGAACAGTGACTCCTTATATTATCCTGAAACTCTGGCAGATAGTATAGCAGCATGATCACAACTGCTAAGACTAGTTCTTCACCCAGGGAGTACAGGAAATAGGTCTGAGAGCTCCATTACTCTGAAGCCAGTTTTCCTGCCAGCTGATTCACTTGAAGGGGTTTTTTCTCAGCTTTTGAGGGGCTGGTAGCATAGCTTTACTATTCAATAAAATAGTTTCCAAGATCACTTTGGAGATCTGGGGAAGAGGCACTTCTCTCTTCCAGAAGGGTCAAAGTACCCCAAAGAGCAATTACAACCACTTCCCTGGTCATTTTTTGGTTTGTCTAAAAAAGATTAAATCTTTGAGGTCCCTAAAGACAGACTAAAATGTGTAAACTTCAGGCCGTAAGTCTTCAGTTAAATGGAAGGAATACATTTCTAAGAATAAGGACTATTTGAAGATGAAATTATCATTTAGGAAGATAATTCAAGCCATCAGAACTTGAAGTTTTGATGGTTAATTAATAAAGGTGAACTCTGAGGTCTTTTTAAACCCAAGAGTCTATGAAATAATACCTAAATAGTTATAAATTTTAGTAACTAAAATTATTGAAAAAATTCAGTTATAGACATTAACTTTAGTTCATGTATTTATAGTTGTATTTTTCACTTATTTTATACTTCCTTAGCATGTTATGATTTCTTATATATTTCAATATCTAGTGAATTTTAAAATCATTTCCTAGACCTTAAAGTCTAATATTTAAATATAGAGGCTTATAGTTATATCTTTGATACCATAACTATATTTTATTGCATGTCAAGTACCTACTTGGGGACATAACCTTGATTATGACATTATTCCCAAGGAGGGAAAATGACTTCTGCAAAATAAAATATTTTAGTCTAGAATACTTGATCATTCCCTTCCCTGCTCTTCCTTCTTGAACAAACAAATAAAATGAGCAAAATAAACAAAAACAGCAGGGACTTAAGTAAAACAAACATTAAAAAGAATTTAATTCATGAGATACATTGCAGTATATATGTATGTTTGAATGTGCATAGAAAAGAAATATCTCGAAGGATACATATCAAATTGTTAACAGTTTACCTTGGGGGTGTAGGACTGGGATAGGGTGAGGGGAGTGCTCTTATTTCTAAATTCATATACTTTTGCATTGTTTGAAATTTTACAATGATAACTCACTACTTTTGTAATAATCAAAACCATACTAGAAATTTAAAAAATAGAAATAGCAACAAAAAATAAAACACACATATACACATTAGTTTAAAGAGCTACATTGGAGAATTAAATCACATGGCACACTTTTTCACTAATACTGTTGGTAAATATAATCAAAGAAACAACATTAGAGAAGCCACTTTTAGCAATATCCGA